CTGCTATTGTTTACTGAATGAATGTATGTCCTTTATTTCTGAACTGTACTGTGGCATCCTTAGTACCTACTTTTTACTGTTACTGTTACTGTTACAGAGATCTCTGTCGGTTCCCTTGTTGGAACCACTACTGTTTACTGACTGATGGCCCATCATTACTGCTCGGTCTTTTAAGACCTACTGTTTACTGTACTGTTATGCTAATGGGTGTACCACATATGACTGTACTGACTGAACGACTGAAATACTGATTTAATGAACTGTTTTCATTACTGTAAGGATATTCATTCTTAACCCCTTTACGCATTATGTTATTCACTGGGTTTTAGCTCACTGCTCTTATATATATGTAGGTGTTCAGGCACCAGACCGCGGCTAGGAGCGTCAGAGTTACTCCAGTTTTGTCAAGCCAACTACCGTGCCTCACTGCGAGGTTCCGAGCCTATCATGTTAAGGCTTAGGGGTGTTTTACAATTCCCCCTTCTGTACTGTCTTACTGTTTTGTATAGACTGAATGCTTACTGTACTGTGATGTAAAGGGTTGAGTCCCTAGTCTGAATGATTGTGCATTTTGTGCATACTGTTCTGTACTGATTATGTATATATGTATGAAAAGTCTTTTTGCATACAGACTGTCACAGCTCATTGGACATTGTTTATTTACTGTTTTGGCTTCCGCCAGGCCCTGTACTCTGTTTTACTGTTCTTCTGTTTTGCAGGCCTTCGGTAATCTCGGATTACTGGCCGGTTACGGTGTTAAACCCATAGGGCCGGGTTTGGGTCGTGACAGTGGGAAACATATTGACCTTGACGTCGAAGAAGACAACTGCAATGAAGAGACTCGTGATAAAAATCACGGAGAAAAGGACGTCGGCCAAAAGGACGGCATACTGAAGAAATCGGATCAGAGCGGGTATTATAATGAGGACGACCTTCAGGTATAGAAAGATAGATGCCTGCGTAGGGACGACGAGATGAAGGGAATGGTAGACAAATTGGCAGACCAACAAACGGTCGTCAATTTCATGATACAGAACAACGTCATGCAGCCACCGTTCTCTTTACAAGATACGCCGATTTCAGCGGCCAAGAAAGGTGCCTAGAAAAGGGGGCAGAAAATGGTTCTTGCAGTCCCTCAGCATGGCGAGACCAAGGGACATTCTCACCGGCCTTCGTGGGAGGTCGGGCATGGAGAATCCCAGAAGACACGATCTCAGCTTAGATGATTAGGTCCGAGAAGAGAAGAGCTCAGCCTAAAGTCAGCAGATCCCAGATTCCAGAAGACAAGATCTGATTAAGTCCGAGAAGAGAAAAACTCAGCTTAAGTTAAAGACTTTTTATATAAGGTCCACAACAGAGTAGGTGGAAGCCATGCAGAGGGCTGGAGAATGATGCCTGTGAGTTAGAATTTTCAAGCCAAGATCGATTTAATACTTGTTGAAATTTAAGAAAAATTTGCAAGTTGAAGTTAAATTGAGGTCATGTTTAACACTTGTTGAAATTTTTAAGAAAAATTTACAAGTTGAAGTTAAACTGAGGTCATGTTTAACACTTGTTGAAATTTAAGAAAAATTTACAAGTTGAAGTTAAACTGAGGTCATGTTTAACACTTGTTGAAATTTAAGAAAAATTTACAAATTGAAGTTAAACTGATATCATGTTTAACACTTGTTGAAATTTTAAGTAAAATTTACAAATTGAAGTTAAACTGATATCATGTTTAACACTTGTTGAAATTTTAAGTAAAATTTACAAGTTGAAGTTAAACCGAGGTCATGTTTAACACTTGTTGAAAGTTTGAGAAAATTTTACAAGCTGAAATTAAACCAGGATCATGATTAAACAAAGGAATGATATAGGTTCCATCACCTCAGGGTACCGAGGTAATAGAACCTACGGGCAGTTGTAGGGACATAATTTTTGAATGACAACACGTGGCCGAGGTTTCACCGAAGTGCTGGCCGAGGTGTCACTGAAGTGCTGGCCGAGGTGTCACTGAAGTGCTAGCCGAGGTGTCACGTGTCCTGGTCATGACGCCGAGATCATCTTAGCTAAGTCGAGGTTATCTGCGAAGAAACAGGAATCCGGGATAAGCGGATAAGGGACAAGAGTCCTAGAATGGGAGATGACTTCAGTTTGGGTAAAGATAAGACTCTTTGAGAGTTTATCCAAATCCTACTGGGAGTTCAAGATTAGCAGTAATGCTAAGTCCATTGAAGCTAGGCTTCTATTGCGTTTAGGTAAGTGTTGGCTATAAAAGAGAGGTACCCCCATGGGTCTAAAGTATGCTTTTATGCTCTGAATAATGAGTTAAGCACTTTTGCTATCTTTGAGAGATAACTGACTTGATCGTCGGAGTGCCCTCGGGTGGATGAACTACCGCCAAAATCTCTTCTTTTTGTGACAGGTCGTTCGAGCTTAATCTATTCTGCCAGTATTCTCCAGCTGAGTGCTTGATTGACAGTGTGGTCGGAAATTGACACACACAGAATGGATGAGCATTACGAATATGGCGGTCATGACATGGGAATCTTCAACTTGGGAGATGGTTCCATCATTAGAGGAATTGATGATTTGAGGAGGTTGGAACCATCACCTATCTGGGTTGTTCCTAATTTAGTGCAGCCGGGACTTAATGATTTTTTAGTCTCTTTCGTTTGTTTTTAATCTTCATGTTCTTTGTCAAAACTTTTGTGTTCTAATTTCCGATCAATTCTTCAATATAATGTTTGTTCTGTCATACAGGTACGTTTAAATGATTAAAAATTGGACTGATATAAGAAAAAAAAATTAAAAAAAAAACCTTCTAATTTACGTGAAGTATCCAAATAGCTTTTCATACACAGAATGGTTCTGCTTATTCTGTTTGTTATTATAGATGCATATATCATTAATTTTGCAAGTAAATTGTCCTTGAACAATCCATCTTAGTTTAAAGGATATAGACAACAAAGGTTAAGATATTATTAGCAGAGAGGTTCTTTTAAAGAGAATAAGATACGATTAATTGCAGTAAATTATAAAATAAGATGCCATTAATATACGTGGCACTTAGACATGCACAATTGAGACTTTTGATGATGACAACAACAATCGTCACTTGGTTCCCTTGAAATTATGGAATTTTAAAAGAGAGAAAAGCCAAAATCAGTAGAGTAGAGCTCATGTGATATTATATAGTATGAGAAAATGTTTTTGTTTTTGTTTTTTTTTTTTGGTAGGTTTAGATATTAAAATGTTTATTGTTCTTTCTAAACTTTTTTGAAGCTTTTGTACTTGAGTTTTAACTTTTTAATGCAAAAAAGATTTGCACTAGCTCATATTATGATTCCAAAAACCTTCTTCACTAATCACAACTCTAGTTATCATCCAAATGGTAGATGACTCAATCAACTGGGGTACAAAGTTATTAGGTGAATAACCAAATATTGCCTTGATTGATTACAATTTTAGTCTCCTCATTAAGAACTATATAGTACTAAACATGCACCAAGAAAATGAAACTCAAAAAACAAAAATTCTAAGTACCCCCAACAAAAAAAAAAAATCAAGAAAAATACCCAAAATTTGAATGTAAAGTGTAGATTTAAACTTGAATCTGATCTACACATTTCAAATTCTAGACACTTTTCTTGAATTTTTTTTTTTCGTTTTTTTTGGTTCGGGGGGTTATGTTGTTGAAACTAAAAAATACTAGAGAAATCAATAGAAGGGAGTGGCTAAAGTGTGGTGCAGACCAGCTTTGTTTGCCGCACATGCCATGCTCAAATTGCCATAGACATGATCATCCAAGTTCCACAAGCCATCCCACAAAGCCATGTTGTCTTCATTGGTAGACTCAAACCCAGATGCATAGCCATTGAATTGGGGATACAAGAAGCTGGCTTGTTCCTCAACGGTAGTGTTTGGATACAGAGTTACCATGTCTTGCCTCACTTGATGAGGCAGTGATGATGGCACTCTATTGTCACTTTCATCAAACAATGACATGATCTTTTTCATGTCCACTTGGCTTATCTGCTGCTGCTGCTGTTGTGGTTGTTGTTGTTGTGGTTGTCGTTGTTGCTGTTGAAACTGTTGCCTTCTCAATAGGCGGGCTTTCGCCTTTTCGTTGTTGTCGGATTTTGCCTTTTTCTTGAAATGAGTTCTCCAGTAGTTCTTGATCTCATTGTCAGTTCTTCCGGGCAAGCTTCGTGCAATTGTTGACCATCTAAAAATTTTTGTTTATTTCTTTTTAGTGATCAAGTTGTTACAAGAAGATTATATCAAACAAATTTTGCACAAAAGTTTGGATGATTACCTGTTCCCCCACCTAGCATGTAGCTCCAAAATTATGGTTTCTTCATGTGGTGTGATTTGGCCCCTCTTGAGGTCTGGTCTCAAATAATTCACCCACCTCAATCTACAACTTTTCCCATTCCTTTTCAATCCTGCACAAGAAAAAGCAATTGATAAGCTTTAATTCACACTAAAAATAAAATAATCATTGAAGAAAATTATATTAACTGCTACATGCTGCAACTGGACTGCCCATTTTGTTCATTTTTTTACCCCCTCACAACCCTGTCTAGACATTTTCTTGCTGGTATATTTCCAAACATGACAGGCTTTAATTAAAACTATTTAGAGTTATTTAACATCGGCACGTGCCTCCATCTCTAAATTCAATTTTCTTTTTATCCCAAAACATTCATAACTGTTAGAATTATGTGTCTAAATTCTCATATCTCAAGATTTCTACATAATTCAATAACCGTGAATATTTTACAATAAAACAGAATAATTTAGGAACAGAAGATCCATTACCACTTAACATGAACTCTTTTCCTACTCTATTTAGGGCCATATGTTATGACTAAAAACTCATTGAGCTGACGGTAATGTGGTAACGCAACATGGTGCTCATAAATGATAAACAGTAATTCAAAAAATTGAAATATTTTTATTTTTATTTGATACAGGTGGTAACTTGAAGTACCTGCAAGCCTAGCCACAGAGTTCCATCTTCCCTCACCATGAAGCTTGACATACTCAATGAGAAGCCTATCTTCCTCAGCAGTCCAAGGGCCCTTCCTCCACCCTTCTTCTTGTATGACACCCCACCCCAAGTGTTGTGCCATTACTCCCCAAGACATATAAATCAACAAAAGCCTACTCCGTTTGTTCTGTGTGAATATTTTAGGTAAAGCTTGTCCTCTATATTCTGTGAGACACAAGTGTTAGTGTTTGTGGCATATTTATACCCGCACAAAAAAATTCTACTTCATTCCATCAGTCATGTTAATGTCCTTATCAAATCCAACTATTCTCTCTCTGTCTCTTTTTCTCTCCATATGAGGTACAGACGATCCCTATAATACTATTTACCATGTAAGTTACCAAAATGCCCTCGGGCATTGTTTTGGCCCTTTTAATGGTATTATTAGATTTTTTTTTTTGAAGACACTCAAATCAAAAACTAATGGAAAAGGGTGGATATAAACTAAAGTTTTAGTAGCTTAGAAAATTATGAGTGACAAGTATCTGATCTTCTTTGTATGCGAAGGTGTTAGAAAAATGAACATAAATAGAAACATACTTATAGTAAAGACTTGGTGTGTGAGATCACTTAAAATCTAATCCTAATACAATGTTAAAATTTTTGCGACATTTAACTCAATATTAATTGACATTGAATTTAATTGTTTAGATAAGCCACAAGTCTCTATAATGCATGTGGAATGCCAATGCCAATGCCAATAATTTTAACATATGAGGGTATTTTGGGAAACAAGAACAAGTACTGCCTAGGCATTGGGTAACATGTTCTTATGTGGATCCAAATCTGGCAGAGTATATTTGTTTGATGATAAAAGTAAGCCTAGGAGACATAAGAATCCATGGACAAAATGCCACGTATACCCTAGGGTTTATGCATCTAGACACTAATATGATCTAATAATTAGCTCTAAAAGCATTGTGTTTATGGTTCTAATTAAAATATTAATGGGTGGCAAGTCTTTTTTAGGCTTGAAAACCACAACAAGGCCAATGGGTGTTAAACAGGTGCTGAATTTGCTTACTTCTCAAGGAGATAGATATGACAATCTCCATGAAAAAAATCTTTAATTAAATATAGTTTTGTTGGATTCCATAACGTCATTTAGGGGACACATGTAATTCATTTGTTGAGTTTGGAAAGAATGCTTTCGTTACACAAGGAGACATACACCGTTCGTGCTACCACGCTCACGTCGCGACAGGTGACCCTCCATTCTTAAGTTTGTGTTATTTTGAAATCTTAAGAGCTTAGTTTAGTGGCCAATCACTTCATTCGATTTTTATTAAGTATTATTAATTTTTTTGAGGTCATGCTCTCATGTACAATTTAAAATTTATTTAACTTATCTGTAGGGACGCTTTGTATGAATTTAAAAATTAATTTAATTTATCTGATTATCCAATAAAAAAAATAATATCATTACAATTGCTCAAGTTTTATGATTAGATGACCACCGGCCAATACCAAACCATATAGTAGTATGAGAGTTCAACACGGTGTTATGGGTCAAGAGTTGCCAAATCATAGACATTGGTCAACACAGGTTAAAACCCATAAATAGGTTTTAAAATGAACTAAATTTTTTTGATCGCAATTACTTTTTGGCAGATGGATATGCATTAAGTGAAGTTTAAATATATATTAAAGTATTGATATGCATTAAGTGAAGTTTAAATATATATTAAAGTTGATTATTTTTTTGAGTTCAGGAGCTCAATTCTGTAAGCTCATACATTACAAAATTATATAGTAAAAAAAATTAAATTACTTATATTTGATTTGATTATAATTTAATTGAGATTGAGTAAAAAAATAAATAAATTTAAGCATTTTTTTTTTACTCTGTTTAATCAAATTTAAAAACTTTCTTTTTTGGAGATCTATTTTTTTAAAAATAACAACGATATTAAAAAATATCTAAAATATATTATTTTTCATATTTGTTAGGTTTTATATTTCTATAAATTTTCTTATTCTTATAGGTCATGTTTGATTCACAATACTAATAGTGAGGTATTAATAATCCTATCAAATTAGTGTGGTATTAACTATCCCACCCCTACCCCATTACTAATAATCCTACAAATTTATTGGATTAATTATCCATTGGATTAATAGTCCTAAACCAAAATGTCAAAACAAACATAGGATGATTGGGCCCACGGATTAATAATCCTAATCCCATGCTTTAATCCTTCCAATCAAACATGCTCTATGGGTTCTTGTTGCTCACTCTTACTTTGCCCATATATAAGCCACATGTTGTAATAGTTCAATAAAAACAATATTATTCAACATTATTCAATATATAAAATTCTTTTAGAAATTCTTTTTCTCTTTATACAATTATTTTAACATGGTATCAGAGTTATAAGATGCCTATCTGTCTAATTCACCAGCGGACGATGATTGGCAACCTTGCCTTTATTTCTCGCTGGAGTTTCAACGCATACCTGTGTTAGTCCGAACCTCCAACAACCAATAAACCATTACGTCCTCCACCGAGCGTCGCATATAGCAAGCTCCTCTCACGATGAATATACCATTTAAACGCCCCTAGCAGGCTTTTATCATTTGCCTTAACAGCAGACTCTTTTCAATCGCCCATAACAGATTCTTATTGTTTGCCTTAACAGTAGACTTTTCTCAAACGCATCGTTTGCCTTAGCAGCAGACTCTTCTTATTCACCCCTAGCAGGCTCTTTTGTTTGCCTTGTCAACAAACTCTCATTCATTTTTTGTTTTGTTCTGTCGAAGGCTATTAAAGAATATCTAGAATATATTATTTTCCATATTTGTTAGGTTTCCATATTTCTGTAGATTTCCTTATTCTCATAGGTTTCTTATTGCCCACTCTTATTTTGCCTATATATAAGCTCCTATTGTAATAGTTCAACAACAACAATATTATTCAATATACAAAAATTCTCTTTTCTATACAATTATCTTAACAAACAATATGAATACAAACTCAAAACATATAATAAAACACAGATATGTCATAAAATGTAGATAGTAGATGTGGGCCTCACATCATGTAAGACCCACTTTTGTAAAATAAAAAGCTAGTTCTATTCATATATATAAATGAAGAATTGCTTGTTTTTTAACTCCACAAACACTTTTGTCACGTTAAACTTAAATGCCAAAAATTAGCAAAAAAAAATCCAAAGTCAAATAAACAACCAACTTCAAGAAGATACTTCATAACTAAACTACTGTTATATTTAAATTTTGAATTTATAGTAAAAAAAAAATTGAAAAAATTTATGACAAGAAAATGAAAAGAATTTTTTTTATTAGATTAAAAGAATAAGAAAAAAATGAATAAATATTGTAAAAAAACAAACACATTCATTTTGTTTTATTATCCAGTTTTTTAATTTTTTATAATAAATTTAAGAACCTAATATAACGTTAAAATAAACAAAGCTGTCAAGAATTATTGTGCAACAAAATTGGCACCAGAATGAGCCGTTAAAGTCAAAAAGGCCATTCTCTTTTTTAATATTTATATATTTAGATTACAAAATTAATTAGGTTGTAATGGATTGTTTCTTTGTTCTGTTGCGAGTTCATACTCTGGCCTCGGCTCATCTGATGAAAGAGTGGCCAGCTCTGGTATTTCATCTTTTCACTTGTAGGAGATTCGGGGTGGTGACTGCTGGGGCATGGGGTCTGTTGGGTTGATGCCTGCGTGGTTTACACAGTCAAGGACTGATCGGACTCAATCGCTCGAATCGCCGCGATCAGATCCCCGGAGGATTCAGATCCAGCAGGTGATGGTCTCGTCCTCTGCCATTGGAGAAGGAAAGGCAGGCCGGGTCGCGGATCCGGGCGGCGCGGAGGGAGGAGTCGGAGGAGAAGGTGTTGAGAAAGAGGTCGTAGAGGAGGGTAGAGAGGAGGGATCAAATATGTAAGAAAGTCAATAACATATGCTCATATCAGTAAATAAATAATTAAACCACTTAATATGGGAGAAATAATCAATTTTTACATTTGACAATGATTGATCTTTTAATCTCTCAATGAATTGAATAAAAGAAGATGGGATACATTACACTGGTACAATAATAACACATCAGATGATAAATAAATCAAACACTAAAAAATTTATTCTAAAAAAGAAAAAAAAAAAACAGCATTAGTGACACAAGAGTTTTGTGATAACAATTTATAATTAAAAAAAAAAATAGTAGTTAAGATGAAAGACAATCTCCATGGAGGTTTTGTTCTTACACCTTTTGGAATTTTTTTTTATTTTATTTTTTTGTGTGTGTCCTATCAATTAAAGTAGAAGATTAGGATAAGAAGTTGCGAGAAGTTGTGGGTGAGGAACATATTAATTCCTTATAAATAAACTAATACATATACGTTTCTTTTGTTTTCCTTAAGCTAAAGGGAATGTTGGGAAATGCCAATGAGTTTCTAGAAACAATTTTTACTTTTGCTTAGGTTTTTTCATTTTAATTTTTATAAGAAGCCAAATTATTGGATTTGCAGAATCTTTAGTGCATCACAGTTTTCATGGAACTTGAGTTATCATCACTTTTGGGTCTCCACCTGTACCTTGTCCACTTTGTTTTTAAGAAATTTTATTTAATTTAGAATTCGAAATCATATATTAAAGATCTTGTATTAATAAAAGTTAGGATTTTTTATTCTACTTTTCAGGTTTCAGTTTAAAAAACTCGAAATAAGTTTTTTTTAAACAATGTTCAATGCTAAAATTTAGTTTAAAGTAGTTTTCCGACCATAATGATGAGTTGGGGAACAAACCCTTATGTTTATCATGAAATTGGATAAAATTTTATGATAAAAAAAAACAAGCAAATGAAAAATTAACTTATATTTCACGTTTTCATCCCCATTTGTCATCCGTATACACAAATCTCTCCCTAAACATAAGATCCAAACAAGTCTTTAAAATTTTTGTTCAACGTTGCATTTTGATTTTAAATTTGTAAAGAAATATAAAAGAGAAATAGAACTACATACTCGTTTTTTATTAGTAACTAAACAAAAAGATGGATTTTTTTTTCAAATATATATTTTCCTTCCTAGTCGAACCAAAAACGATAAAAACAAATTTAATTTAAATTATACTTCATTTTCATTCATTATTTTTTCTTTTAAGAAATCAAAAATCCAAACACGATCTAAAAATAATCAAATC